TCCTCCTCTTCCGCGCTCCACGCCTGCATTCTTCCACGCCTCAGCGTGCCAGGGGGCACGGCAGCGGACGTCGCGCGAGCGCGAGCCGCTGCGATTCCTCGGCGCTTCGCCCCGCGCTGCCGCGGGCGGCCCGGGCGGCTCGTGGCCCGCCCTCCCAGCGACGACGCCCCGCGGGGGCGCGCCGCCGCCCCGCGGTGCCTCCGCGCCTCCTCCTCGGAGCCGCGATGTGCTCCACCTCCTCCTCCTCCTCTTCCTCCTCCTCCTCGTCCTCCTCCTCCTCCTCCTCCTCCTCCTCCTCTCTTCCTCCTCCTCCTATCTTCCTCCTCTCCTCCTCCTCCTCCTCCTCCTCCTGCTCCTCCTCTCCTCCTCCTCTCTCCTCCTTCCTCCTCCTCCTCCTCCTCCTCCTCTCCTCCTCCTCCTCCCATCTCTTCTCCTCCTCCTCCTCCTCCTGGGGGCCAGCCACGCCGCTGGGATGTATCGGTGAAACGATCCTCCTCCTCTCATCCTCCTCCTCCTTCTCTCCTCCTCCTCCTCCTCGTCCTCTTCGTCCTCTTCGTCCTCCTCCTCCTCCCTCCTCTCCTCCTCCTCCTCATCCTCTTTCCCTCTCCTTTCCCTCCTCCTCCTCCTTTCTCCTCCTCCTCCTCCTCCTCTCTCCTCCTCCTCCTCTCTCCTCATCCTCCTCCTACCTCCTCCTCCTCCTCCTCCTCTCCTCCTCCTCCTCCTCCTCCTCCTCTCCTCCTCCTCCTCCCTCCTCCTCCTCCCCCTCCCCCTCCCCCTCCTCTCCTCCTCCTCCTCCTCCTCCTCCTCCTCCTCCTCTCCTCCTCCTCTCCTCCTCCTCCTCCTCCTCCTCCTCTCCTCCTCCTCCTCCTCCTCCTCCTCCTCCTCCTCTCGGGGGCGGCAAAGAGGGGGGTGATGACTAGGGGGGGGTGGATATCACGGCGGGGGCCATGATATTTCCCCAGATCTCATGGCGCCTCTCCTCATTCCATGACGTCCCTGGCCCCCCCGCTGGGCCGCGCACATGCCGCCAGCCATGATTTGCACCCCCCTCTTGGACACCCCCCTCTTGGCCGCTCCCGATGTTGGGCGACGTTGCCTTGCGCTGTGCGGCGCAGTGTTGGAGCGTTGACCGTCTGTCCCATGGCCCGTGTCGCAGCTAGCCTTACGTCGGGCCTGTCCCTCTACAGGGGGAAGAGTCAACAACAGGCCAGAAGTAGCCTGGGGACGATTTTTGTTTGGACCATTTGGGAATCTTTTCGGGTATGTTTTTTACTATTTTCTATTTCTCGTCAGAAATCGGCCTGTGGGGGACAGGCCCGACTGAAGCCTTGCGGGCGGGCTCGGCGCTGAGGGCTGGAGGGGCCATGCGGCGCCATGCGACAGGTTATCGATCGAAGAAGTCGGGGGCAACGATAGGGGGGATAGGCACAGGGGGGATGCATCGATCCCCAATCGCCCACTGATCGCCGACAGGGGCCCGATAGCCCCACCCCGCCCAGGAAGGTGCGGATTCACTATCGGGGGGCTATCGCCGATCTATCGACAGTGTATCGCCGATTCCAGGTCGATGTATCCCCCCCTATGCCTATCCCCCCCTATCGTGGCACCTCAGGAAGAATAAAACGCCATAAACATAAATTGTTGGCGCTCCGCGCGGATTTCTCGGATCCGCGGGGGCCCCCCCCTGGCGGCACCTCCGGCGCCGCCCCTGGCGCGCTCCGCGCGACAGGGAGGGGGTCCGGCGCAGATCCAAGACATCCGCGCGGAGCGCCAAAAGTTTCTGTTCATGGCGTTTCTTCTTCTCCTAGTCCCGTGTGGCTTGAAGCTCCAGCTGAAGAGGCCGAGCTTCTCAGGGAGGGGTGCCGAAGCGCATCTTTGGAATCGACGCCGCGCTCGCGTCCAGCAATGAGATCGTCGAAGTTCTGACTGTCTGCTCATTGCCAATGTCAGCTAGTAGCCAATCCTGGTTACATACCGCCCACGTCCTTCACTGGTTGTCAGGCCCACAGTCTGGTAGGTGGGGAGGCGCGTTCAAGACCGTGGAAGGGTCGCCCTGGGACGTGTTGCGTAGTGTCGCAGCTTGGACAGTCCTGGAGTGCTCCTAGGTGTGCGACCTTCGAGTCGTGCTGGAGGGAACTCGGCTGCCAGTGCAATGCAGCTCTGAGTCGCCACATGCTCGCCGCTCAGTGCCCTCGCGCACACGGGCCCCCTTACGCCGCGACGGTCCGCTGCGATGTTCCCGTCCTTCTCGGTCCTCCGATTGCCCCTCTGGACCAATTTGGCTCCATGTGGTTCGTTCGTTCGCGTGTTGTCGTCCTTTCCTTGAGCGGTGATGGGGCTCTCGCAAGATTGCCGTGGTCGGCATAAGCGTCAAGCTCGTCGCGCATGACGTCGCCCCTGTGCCGGAGATGTTTGCCGACTCCGACGAGCCAAGGCGATGCCGCAGCCTCAAGCGGCGTGGGGCTCGCGGGGCGCAATTCAGAGCGTTGCCAAGTTCGACCATGCATGCGATGCGTCGCAAGTGGCAGGACGCCGACAAGGACTACTTCCGCAAAGACACAAGCAGGTGCGCAGGCTACATCCTCCCATCATCGCTCCATGCCGTCCTACATCACCCATCTCGCCTACCAACATTCTGAATGCGTCTTGGCTGGCTTCGTGCAGACGTCTCGTTTCTGCTTGCTCCACATCGGTCTGCAGTGTACAGTCGGGGCCCTGAAGAAGGAACCCGGTTCGCTGGGGAGGGGCTCCGCGCTCCTCAAGTGTTTCGCAGCTTGCCTCGGGTTGTCCTTAGGTTTTCGATCGGAAACCGAAGTTTAACTCATGGACAAAAAGGGGCCTCGTTCCTTATTTAGGGTTCCTTAGGTCAGCGCCCCGACTGTATCCCGCCCGCGCGCTGACGCCAGGCGAAGCCGAAGCACAACATCTTCCGGATGGCGCCGACCAACGCCAAAGAGGAGAGCAAGCGGCGCAGAGCTTGTCTCCGAGCGTGTCTCCGTTGTGCCGGCCGTGGAAGAGGAATGGGGAGGCGAGTGAGAGGAGGAGGCGAGTGAGAGGAGGAGGAGGAGGAGGAGGAGGAGGAGGAGGAGGAGGAAGGAGGAGGAGGAGGAGGAGGAGGAGGAGGAGCGGAGGGGGAGGGGGAGGGGGGAGGAGGAGGGAGGAGGAGGGGGAGGGGAGATGAGGAGGAGGAGGAGGAGGAGGAGGAGGAGGAGGAGAGGGGGAGGGGGAGGGGGATGGGGAGGGGGAGGGGAGAGGGTGTGGGGGAGGAGAAGAGGCGGAGGGGCAGTCGCGGCTCTCATGCGAGAGCGTAGCTGCGCCTGGGTGGCTCGTTTTCCAGAGGCCTTGGGGGGATCGGGGGAAGCGTCCTGGGAGACTCCCGTTTTTCCCAATCATCCCGTGGTGTTGGGCCCTCGTTTTGAAGAGACAGCCCCCCGCGTCACTCTTCCTCCTCTCCTCCTCCCCCTTCTCCCTCCTCCCATCCCTGCTTCTGCCCTCCGCGTGTTCTCGTCGCCATCATCATCGTCAGCACTTTCACCGTCACCCGCCATCATCGTTTCGGCACCCCTCACACGCTTCGTGGCCCAATGGGGAGGCCTTAGTGGCTGCGTTCGCATGGTCCCATCGCACCCATTCCCGCACACCCCCCACACCTTTCGTGGCCTTATAGTGAGCTTCACCGAAGGCTCCAGTGGCTGCGTTCGCATGGTCCCGCCGCACCCATTTCGGCACACCCCTCACACGTTTCGTGGCCCTATAGGGAGCTCCACCCAAGGCCCTAGTGGCAGTGTTCGCATGCGCCCATCGCACCCATGTCGGCACACCCATTACAGTGGAGACCCATGCCAAGAAACACCCTGCTTGCCTCCAGGGTGCCCTGGGTTTCTTGTGTTTCGATAGTTTTGCTATGGAAAGCGTGACGTTCCCACGCTAAACATCAATGGACGCCCTGGGGTCTCAGGGTTGGGTTTCTTGTGGAAGGTTTCTTGTGGACCGGCCTCCACTGTACACGTTTCGTGGCCCCGTCGGGAGTTCCACTAAAAGCCCCAGCGGCTGCGTTCACATGGGCCCACCGCACCCATTTCGGCACACCCCTCGCACGTTTCGTGGCCCCATCGGGAGCTTCACTGAAGGCTCGAGTGGCTGCGTTCGCATGCGCCCACCGCGCCCATTTCGGCACACCCTGTGCAAGCTTCGTGGCTCCATACAGGGCTCCACCGAAGGCCCCAGTGGCTGCATTCGCATGCCACCACCACACCCGTTTCGACACACCCCTCACACCTTTCGTGGCCCTATAGGGAGCTCCACCGAATGCCCGAGTGGCTGCGTTCGCATGGCGGCGCACCCATGTCGGCACACCCATTACACGTTTCGTGGCCTCATCGGCAGCCCCACCGACGGCTCCAGTGGCTGCGTTCGCATGCGCCCACCGCGCCCATTTCGGCACACCCTGTGCACGCTTCGTGGCTCCATAGAGAGCTCCACCGAAGGCCCTAGTGGCTGCATTCGCATGGGCCCACCGCACCCGTTTCGACACACCCCTCACACGTTTCGTGGCTTGATAGGGAGCTCCACCGAAGGCCCCTGTAGTTGCGTTCGCATGGGCCCACAGAACCCGGCGTGACTCACCCTTTACACGTTCCGTGGTCCCATCGGCAGTTCCATCGAATGCTCCTGTGGTTGCGTTCGCATGGCACCGCCGCACCCGCTTCGGCACACCCCTCACGCGTTTCGTGGTCCCATGGGGAGTTCCACAGACGGCCCCAGTGGTTGCGTTCGCATGGCACCGCCGCACCCGTTTCGGCATACATACTCCGTACACGTGTTGTGTTCCCGTAGGGAGTTCCACCGAACGCTCCAGTGGTTGCGTTCGCATGGCGGCACCGCGCCCATTTCGGAGCACCCCTCACACGTTTCGTGGCCCCATCGGCAGCTCCGCCAAAGGCCCCAGCGGCTGCGTTCGCATAGCACCGCCGCACCCGTTTCGGCACACCCTGTGCACGCTTCGTGGCACCATGGGGAGCGCCACGGAAGGCCCCAGTGGCTGCGTTCGTTTGGCACCACCCCCATTTCGGCACACCTCTCACACCCTCCGTGGCCCCATAGGTTCGCATGGCACCACCGCGCTCACTTCGGCACACCCCTCACACGCTTCGTGGCCTCGTAGGGGGCCGCCGAAAGCGGCACCCACAACACTCGGCTGCATATGTTTGGGTCTTTCGCCCGGATGATTCTTGTTGCGGCCCCCTTGGGGTGCGTTTTGGGGCGCGCTGGGGATGTTGGGATCATGTTTGAGTGGCTGGCTTGCAGCGGTGCGGCAGCGGCATGCTTTCTGGGCCCCTCTGCGGCCGTCTTGGGGCTCTGGGGCCGCCTCGGACACTCCTGCGACCGAGGCGGCGAGAACGGCAAGATCGCGCAGCAGCCGGAGGGATTCCACCGCTTCGGGCGGCGTGGGCCGACCCCCAGAGCCTGGCATCGCTCGGACGTGTGCATTTTTTTCTCGACGAGAACCATCGAGGAGCATCCTTGATCGTTTGGCGAAAAAACCACGCACGAAACCGAAAAAAAAACACAGTGAATGGACGTCCGAGCGATGGCGAGAGGGCCCTCCAGACGGCCCGCGAGGCTCCCGAGAGTGCCGCGGTTTCGCCTCGAGACTCGCCACCCACCGAACCACCACCCCAGCCCAACCCGAAGGCGGCCCCAACGTGCCCTCCGTTTCCAGTGGGGGGGGGGGGGTCGGGGGACATCGAGAAAGCAAATGTGGAACCCGCCCCCCCCCCCCCCCCCCAACCCGAAACCCAGACATCCGACGTCTCGATTTTTTCGAGACGCGGGCCCCCGACCTCTCGGCCACTTCCCCAGGGCCGGTTTTTCATCCCGAGTCGTTTTTTGACGGTCCCGAGGCCCGGCGAGGGCCCCGAGAGGCCAAAAACTATGAAAAACCTTTGTCTCGATTTTTTCGAGACGCCCGAGGTCTGGGAATGCGGGTCTCCGGGGTTGGGTTGGGGTGGTCTGGCAGGTAGTTACTCAGGATGGCTGCAGCGGGCCTGTGTGGCCCCAGATGGCCAGGCGAGCCTGGAGATCGCCCGAAAGCAGCTCTCGGGCAGGGAGGCTGGGCGAGGAGATGCGCCTCCCCCCCACCCCCCGCCCCATGCGGGGAAGGGATCTCGCAGGAAAGGGGCTTTTCCCTTCGACTCGATCACGACTCGGGCCGATATGCACTTCGTGCTGGCGCGCCCGGAGAGCCCCCGGAGATCCCGCAGGGAGAGCGATCGAAGAGGAGACAACGGCATATAAACATAAACTGTCGGCGTTCCGGGCGGAGTTCTCGGATCCGCGCTGGACCCCCCCCCGGTGGCGCCTCCGGCGCCACCCCTGGCGCGCTCCGCGCGCCAGGTAGGGAGGTCCAGCGCGGATCCGAGAATTCCGCGCGGGGCGCCAAAAGTGTAGGTTTATGACGATGTTGTTTCTTCTATGCGTGGAAGGGATCACAGGAGAGACTCGATTACGGCTTGGGCCGATGCGCTTCGGGCTGGCGAGCCTGGAGAGCCCCAGATGGCCGCAGGGAGGGGGGGGTGGGATAATTTCGTCTGGAGAAGCGGTTCCGCCGACCCTGTCGGCGTGTGTTGAAGGCGGAGTGCTGGGGTGGTCAGCCGCGGAGAGGCTGTTTCGGTACTACAAGTTGCTCTCTCGTTCGCTCTCCCTGTCTGTCACCCTCGGGGCCTCGCACCACAAACCCCGACCCTTCCTCGCACCCGCACGTGTCCCTGTCCTCTCCTTGACGCAAGCACCAGGCACTGCCCATGTCTCTGCCCTCGCTTCTGCTCCCGGTGTGTGTCACCTGCGTAGTTTGCTCGGTTGCTCTCTCTCTCTCTCTCTTTCTCTCTCTCCCTCTCTCTTCCTCTCTTCCTCTGCCTTTCCCTGACCCGCGGGGGGGGGGTCGGCACCTCGGTCCGACCGTGATGGGCTCGTTGCCCACCGCCACCGCCACACGTGGGAGGGGGAAGGCGGTGGAGGAGGAGGAGGAGGAGGAGGAGGAGGAGGAGGAGGAGGAGGAGGAGGAGGCTCCGTCTTTCTCTCTCTCTCTCTCTCTCTCATTTTTCCTCTCTCGCCTCACATCTTGGCGTGCGCTCCTCGCACCGGCCACGGGCCTCGACTCGGCAGCCGAGACGGCCCCTCGGGCGGGCCTGTGCGGCGGGGGCCCCCAGGAGGTGGACGACTGGGACGTCAGGCCGGACAGCTCCAGCTTCTCTCCTCGTTTCGTTGTCTCCTCCCCTCCCTCCTGGGGGAGAGCGGAGACGAGGGGAAGAGGGAGGAAAAGGAGGGGGAGGGGGAGGGGGAGGGGGAGGAGGAGGAGGAAGATGAGGTGGAGGAGGAGGAGGAGGAGGAGGAGGAGGAGGAGGAGGAGGAGGCGGAGGAGGCGGAGGAGGAGGAGGAGGAGGCCCCTTGGGAGCCTTCTGGGGCACTCTCGGGGCCTCCTGGGAGCTTCTGGGGGGGTTTCTTGGAGGCCTCTTGTGGGCTTCCTTGGGCCTCCCGGGGGCCCGTTTGGGCTCCCTGGGAAGCTCTTTGGCCGCCTGAGGGCGTCCCTGGCCCGTCGGAAGCCGTCTTCTGGAAGGGCCTCGGGGCTGTGTGGAGAAGTCCTGGGGCTGCCGTGGGGCATCTCCACAGGCGACATGGACGGTCCAGGGGCCCTGAAGCGCGCACGCAACGGATCCTGGAGGGGGGCCGTGGGTACGGAAAGCTGCGGCGAGGAGGGGTGCCTTTCAAAAGCTACAGGAAGCCAGCTGGACAGCGCAGCCGGGCACCCAGGGTGGTCTGTGTCCAGTATGTTCTGCTTCGAACGTTGTGTTGAGGCTTGCTTGTTTCAGCGCATGCTGCCTCACTACGGGCATCATAAGTTGCGCTTGACACTCCATTCCCCAAGCAGGGCTTGCACTCGAGGGGGTCCTACTTGTGCTCTCAGGCAAGTCAAGCAGTGGCGAAGCGTCCTGGCTCGCCTATAGCCCTACCAAACAATGTTCTAAGAACCTTCTGTGGTTCCCACAAAATGTTCTTAGAACAGTCCTGGATGGGACTGTCTTGTTTCCTCACATCGGGCTTATGTTCTGAGAACGCTGTTTTTGTCCTTAGAACATCGTTGGGCTCTGAGAACGCTTCGTGGTAGGACTATAAGAATGCCGGGGCGGCCGGTCCCTGCTCAAGCAAATGGTCCGCACGAGCGAAATGGGTACGGAAAGAATGGGTACAATGCCCAACAGCAGTTCCTGTTCCTTCTGAACCGGACTCGCTGTCCGCGCCGCCGCGGCCTGTGCCCATGTGAGACAGAGGGCCGCCTGCCCAACAGCGGCGGCTGCTGGCTTGGGGCGACGTTTGCTGTTGGGCATTGTACCCATTCTTTCCGTGCCCGTTTCGGGCGTCCCGCCCTGGGTGGGCCCGGACGGATCGGACCGGACCCCAGCGGGCAATGGGGGGAACGGGCCGGCGGAGTCCCCTTCGCGGGCGGCCGGGCCGGTCGGACGGGGCCCCTCCCGCGCGCGGCCGTTCCAGGTCGGGCGGGACACGTATCCGGCGGTCGGATACGGCTCGGTCGGGCATGGTACCCGGGGCGGCCGGTCCCTGCTCCAAGCGAATGGGATGCCCTCCATTCGCCTCCCTCCTGCTCCTCCCCCTCCCCCTCCTCCTCCTCCTCCTCCTCCCCCTCCTCCTCCTCCTCCTCCTCCTCCTCCTCCTCCTCCTCCTCCTCCTCCTCCTCCTCCTCCTCCTCGATCCTCCTCTACCCATTTCGGGCGTCCAAAGGGATGTTCTTCCGGGCCTTCGCCCGGGTGCCGCCCGTGGGCACCTCGTGGGCGCTCTGCGTGCTCGGGCGGCAGCCTCGGGCGCGTGCCCCCGGGTGCCCCCGCGGCCGGGCGGCAGCTTTTTGTTCCTGGGCTTGCGCGCCCGGTGGCCGCCGGGTGCCCGCGGCCGCGGCCGCCTCTGGTCAGGAGAGGAAAAAATCACACAGACAGAATGAATCGTGGATCCCCCAGAAGATATGGGAAAGTATGGGGAGTGGGGGGGGAAGACAGAAGCCAAGAAGAGATTTGGGAAAGGTGGGGAGCATTCTTATTTGTGCGCAGTTATTTGTGTGTCCTGGGGCCCCTTCATCTGGGCTCCTCCTGCGCGGGCTGGCGCGCCGAATGCACCACACGCAGTTTGCGCCGCCTGGGTGGCGCCACGCAACTGGCACCACGCGTATGGCACCCCACGGGTTTCACCACATAGCCTGTGCTGCGCACACGTATCGCAGAGTGTGAGGTGTACCACGCAGCGTGCACCGCATAGCTTGCACGATGAGGACTGCGTCACATAGCCGGTGCACCACATAGCTTGCACCGCGTAGCTCGGACCACGTAGCTTGCGCATCATGGATTGCACCACACAGCTTGCACCAGACAGACTGCACCACATAATTTACACCTCATAACTAGCTGCACATAACTTGCACCACATAGCTTACACCACATACATTGCACCACGTAGCTTGCACCACATCTGTTGCATCACATACCTTTGACCAAATACCTTGCACTACATGTATTCCTTTCAACTAGAACGATAAATCCCACCTCCTCCTGAGCCTGGACTTATCGCCCCCCCTCCCCCCTGGGACATTGCAAATTGGTTACGCTTCGCGAATCCCCACCAGCCCCTGCAGAAGCCCTGCACATGAGAGCTGATGGGAACAGGGACGAAGAGACACATATAGTGAAACAGAGCGTGCGAGGGGAGGAGAGGAAGGAGGGTGTTGAGCCATCTTGTAGGTTATCTTTGAGCATCGGAGGCCTTCTTGGTGCTACGGGGCTGTATTGGGGAATCTTGGGGTCCTCTTGGAGCTCCTTTGGGGCATCTTGGGGCCCTCTTGGGGCTCTTTTTGGGGGATCTTGGGGTCCTCTTGGGGCTTGTTTGGGCCTTTTGCAGAGTGGATATACCATGTTGCTTGCGTCCCATAGCTTACACATCAAGGGTGCAACAGTTGAATGGATGTGGCGCGCGCTTGGTCATCGTGCCAAGTTTAACATATGCACAGCATGCGACAAGTTTAACAGGTGCCCCTCTGGAGCATTTTGTACATACTGCGCGGGGCGCGGGGACGGGGACAGGGAGGGATGGGAGTTCGGTGGCATTTGCTGCCCCAGGTCCAAGGACATCTTGGAGCCGGCCTTGACGGGCAAGTACAGCATAGCCGACGGAGCAAACCATTCTGGCAACGCGACGCAGCAGTTCACGATAGAAGAGGCGAAGGAGGAAGCTGGCGCCCCGCAGTTTCTGGGGCTGGCTTTGCTTGCCGTTTTCCTGCGCGTTTCTGCGGTTGGCTCGGTGTGCAGGGGATGGGCGGGGAGGGGAGGGACAGGAGGGAGTGGACAGGAGTGGCTGGGAGAGAAGGCATGGACGCACATGGCGGGGGTGACAGATTGAGGTGGGGTAGGGGGGAGATGGAGACGGCAACTCATCAGCAACTTCCCCCGTGTGGGTTGGACATGTTGTTTCAGCGGTGGCGCAACGCTGGAAGCCCCCCGGGATGATTGGGTCCGCGTTTGTTGCATCTTCCGACTTTCCCATACATCCCGTTGCTGGCGAGACAGTCCCCCCGCACGTCGCACGCTCGCTCGGGGTGGGCGTTTTCCCGCCCCACCGCAGGCACAGAACGCACTGATACTGCAACGAGAGAAGTGCAAGGACCGAGCACAAGGCTGTTGAGCTTGGTTTGGGCCCTAGTTCCATTATTCGTTTCGTTGTTCGGTTTTGCTATGTTGTGCCAGTTCGTCTTCGCTGTAAACGCGTTTGAGTTTTAAACGTTGTTTGAGCACGCGTTTCGTTATTTTTGTTTTGCTGCGATTCCTAGGTTGCGTTTCGTTTTTCGTTTTGTTTGCTCCGTTCACTCCGCGCTTCGGTTCGTTGTCCGTTATGTTTCGCGCCGCCGTTATTTTGTTTCGAATTCTTGTTTGCGTTTAGTAGGAACGCAGTCTGTTGCTTGATGTGTCGTCTCGTTATTCGTTTTGTGATCTTATGTGGTTGATGATGTTTTCCGTTTTCGGTGGCCCAAGGCTCAGCCATATTTTCGCCCCTAGCATTAGCCATAGCTTTTGGACGTTCGTTTCGTGTTTCGTTTCGTTGGTGTTCTTCCCGCTGTTCTGTTGCACTCCTGGTTTGAGCTTCAGCTTGGGCCCAGCCTCTGCCGTAGCCCCATCCATAGTTCTGGGCGTTCGTTTCGGTTCGCTTCGTTTTTCGTTTCGTTTTTCGTTTGCAGGTTATATTGCCCAAGACTTAGCCAGAGTCTCGCCCCTCGCCCTGGCTAAAGTTTCTGGGCGTTCGTTGTGCGTTTCGTCTCGTTGTTCCCTCCCTCGCTCTTGCCATTGCGCTCCTGGCTTGATCTTTGGATGCTCTCACACGGTTTCGGGGGTGACACGTGTCACCCTAGTGTTGTTTCACATTGCATGCCCATATGTTGGCGTCGAGAATGCGAGTAAAACAAGCGTGTACCTCACACGGTGTTCGGGGTGACACGTGCCACCATTGTGGTGTGTCACATTTCGTGGCCCCATGTTGGTGCCGAGCATGCGAGTGACACAAGTGGTTCTGTCTGACACGGTTTTCAGGGTGACACATGCCACCTTTGTGTTGTTCCACATTGTATGGTCCAATGTTGGCGTCCAGACTACGAGTGAAACAAGTGTTTTTTCTCACTCGGGTTTCGGGGTGACACGTGTCACCTCTGTGTTGTTTCACGCTGTATACAGCCCGACAGGAGGAGGAGGAGGAGGAGGAGGAGGAGGAGGATGGAGGAGGAAGGAGAGGAGGACGGAGGAGGGGACGGGGACGGGAGGAGGAGAGGAGGAGGAGGAGGAGGAGAGGAGGAGGAGGAGGAGGAGGAGGAGGAAGGAGGAGGAGGAGGGGAGGAGGAGGGGAGGAGGAGGAGGAGGCGGAGGAGGAGGAGGAGGAGGAGGGGAGGGAGGAGGAGGGGGGAGGGGGAGGGGGGGAGGGGGAGGGGGAGGGGGGGGGGAGGGGGAGGAGGCGGGGGAGGGGAGGGAGGAGGAGGACGGGGACGGGGACGGGGGACGGGGACGGGGGACGGGGAGGGGGACGTGGACGAGGAGCGTCTAAGGAAGGTAGGCAGGAGGAGGAGGAGCAGCGAGGAGGTGGGAGGAGGGAGGGGGGGGGGGGACGCTTTTCCTGGAGCACCAGGCCCGAGGCCCTGGCGCGGTGCCACGGGCTCGGCCACCCCCGAGCCTCGAGCGCGTTCTCTGTGCGCAGCCCGTGCCCTCAAGCCCATGTGCCTCGGCCCCCCCCCCCTCCGCCCCTCGACCCGTAGCCGCACCCGCCCAGGGGCGCCCCCCACACAAGCCTCTGCCTCTCCTCCCGCACTCCTCCTCCCTCCTCCTGCCTACATCTCATCCTCCTCCTCTTCTAGCTCCTCATCCTCCTGCTCCTCCTTCCTCTCCTGCTCCTCCTCCTTGCATTCCTCTCTCTTCCTCCTCCTCTTTTCTTCCATTCACCTCCCCTCCTCTCTCCTCTCTCCTCTCCTCCTCCTCTCCTCTCCTCTCTCTCCGCTCCTCCTCCTCTCCCCTCATCTCTCCTTCGCCCGGCCTTGCAGTACTGGCCGTAAGCTGAGCCTCAGCCAGCATTCTGCCTCGGCCCAGCCACGGCGTGGCATTTCGTTCCGTGTTTCGTTTCGTTGTTCGTTGTGTTTGGCCCAGGCCCCAGCCTAAATCCTGCCCCCCGCCGTAGCCCAGTCCTCAACCGTAGCCGCAGGCCGAGTCCGTTTTTCGGCTTGGTTTGCTCAAGTCCCATCCAGGACCTCGACGGTCGCTGGAGCCCCAAGCCCCAGCCGTCGCCGCAGCCCGAGTTCGTTGTTCGTCTCGTTCTTCGCTCGTTATCGCGCGAGCCTCACACAGGACCTCGCCCTTCGCCCTGGCCCCGTGGCCCTCGCCGCAGCCCTGGTTCGTTTCTCGTCTCGTCTAGGCTTGTCGTGTTGTCTGGTTCGGGCCCCAGCCAGACCCTCGCCCTCGCCCTGGCCCAAGCCCCCAGCCAATGCCGCCATGGCCCCAGCCATCGCTCCATGCTTTCGTCGCGTTTTCGCGCTTTGCTCCAGCGTTGTCTGCGACGGTCGCTGCGTTTCTCGTCTTGTTTTTGTTGCTGAATGGCGGCCTCGTTTCGTTTTCGCGCTCTTTCGGCACTGGTTTCGTTCTAAACGTTCGTTGTAAACGGTCGGTCTGTTGTTAGTTATACGCGCCGGCACGTTTTGAACGTCGTTGTCCTCGGTCGCTGGAGAAGTGTACCCCGGACAGTACCACGCGCGCCCAACATAAAACGGAGTTGCATGACAGGGATTGGTGTTCCAATGTCGGTGAGGAATGCCCCACCTTGCGTTACATAGTTGAGCAAATTGTCCAAGGGCAGAACCTGCATCTGAGGTGATGCGTTTGTGCAGGATGTGCATCATTACCTCCGCTGCACGGTGCCGAAATTGTTGTCCATGGGGCTAGCGTGTCCGGAACCCGCGGATTGTCGGCCGATCATAGAGGCGGCATTTGGATAATCGAGAACGTGTTCGACGCTCGGATCGTGCGCGAGTCTCCACCAGAACCCTTCTCCGGACCAGCATGTACCAGGGACGCTGTTGCAGGCCAGGCGTCCTTGGTGATGGGCCAATCTTCCACCACCACTGCCATAGGTAGGAGAAGGAGGAGGAGGAGGAGGGGGAGGAGGAGGAGGAGGAGGAGGAGGATGAGGAGGAGGAGAGGCGGACCAGGAGGAGGAGGAGAAGGACGAGGAGGAGGAGAGGCGGAGGAGGAGGAGGAGGACCTCCTGATCCTCCCTTCTCCCCCGTCCTACATGTGGTGGTGGCGTTGGAAAACGCTGCCCATCACCTCGTGGCCAGGCCACCCGGCGGTGCCGTGGAGCGGCACCGTCGCGGCGCGCTCTCGCGCGCCGTGCAGTCTCGCCGAGAGAGCGGGCGCCTCGGCGGCGCCCCCCGAGGACTGCCACATGCCAGAGGAGGGGGAGGCCTGCTACGTCGCCGTGCACTGGACCAGGACGCCTCTCTCGGCCTCCTCGGCCGACAGGAACTCAGCAAAGTTGTTCATCCCCCCATCTCCCAGGAGGCCCTCCTTCAGGAACCCTTCAAGACGAGTTCGAAAGGAGCCTCGGGAGGCATAGAATTAACCCGTCGAGAGAACCATTGAATGAGGGAAGAAGGTAGAGCGGGAGAGGTAGAGCGGGAGAGGTAGAGCGGAGCGATCGTGTCTTCCCGCCTCCCCAATGGCGAAGGAAGAGCACAGAAGCATGATGAGTATCAGCTTTCCGAGGGCCGCGAGAGTTTATGCTATGCTTGCGCGGTGTGTTTTTGATACCCACCTCTCGTCGTCCTCATCCAGCTTCTCCCGCCTGGTCGGTTCGGTTCGGGTCGTGATGCTGCAGGCGGGCGCCGCGGATGTTATGCGCATGCGAGCGTTAAGTTCAATAAACGAGCAGCCACACGGGGCGCAGGTTGCTTGTGGCGTCTCCGAAGCACGCGAGAGCGGGGTGGAGATAAGCGGTATGCGGTTACCCATCGGTCGTTGGTATTTTGTGATTCCAATTACACCAGGGAGAAACCCCAATCCGTGGATGGTTTTCGCTGAGGAGATCGGCCGGAAACCCGGGAGCCCAGGAACCCAGAACCCACCGAAATCGGCCTGGAACAAATACCCGGGAACCCGGGAACCCGGGAACCCAGCCTGCTACCAAAATCGACGGGAGAGTTTCGCCAAATCAATTTCCGCTAGGACCCTTTCAGTGCAAGCACTGATTGGGGAATCTTCCCTTCGACTTTGAGCGCCTTCCTACTTCAATGATCGAGCGCCTTCGCCTTCTCCGTCCTTCTCAGGGGTCGACCGAAGCCCCATCTATTCTCAACGCTCTCCTACTTCCTGTTCCCCGATCAGTGCTTGCACTGAAAGGGGTCCCAGCGGAACTGGAAAGATTTGGCGAAAGTCTCCCGCCGATTTTGGCAACAGGCTGGGCTCCCGGGTTCCTGGGTTCCCGGTTATTGGTTCCGGGCCGATTTCGGTGGGATTTGGGTTCCAGGGTTCCCGGGTTCCCGGTCGATCTCCTCAGCGAAAGCCATCCACTGATTGGGGCTTCTCTTTGGTGTAATTTCTACCTACTTGTTCCGACCGATGGGTATCTGGAGGGGAGTTGCTACAACAGTCCCAGCGTGACACGTCACACCTGTTGGACAGTCGCGCGCGCGCGTGATCCGAGCGATTGCATAGACGGGAAGTATGAGCATCCGAATGTTGTCGTGTCGCAGATGTCTCCAGGCAGCGGGCCCCCTGGGGACACTGAGAGCGGGGGGGGGGCCTTGGAGTCGGTCGGTGTCCCACTGGCTGTGGCAAGAGGAGGGTACGAGCTGAGGGAGGACGGGACGGGACGGATGAGGAATCGAGGGGGAGAGAGGGGGGATGATGCGACGAGAAGGAAGGGCGAGGGGATGGAAGTGAGGAGAGGCGGGATCCTTGTTTTTTTTTAATTTTTTGTGTCTGCTTTGTTGTATGTTGTTTTGTATTTCCCTTGGGATCCCTCGCCCAGGGGCCAGGGCGAGGTGTGGGCAGTGGGGAGGGCGGGGAGGGCAGGGGGGGGATATCGGGGGGGGTGGGGAGGGAAGCGGCGAGGGCGCATGGGGGAACGAGGGGGAGGTGGGGAGAGAAGTGGAGGGTGGGGGGGGGGAGGAGAGTGAGAGGGACGAGAGAGAGCGAGAGCGAGAGAAGGCTGGGAGGAGGGGCGGCCCCCCGCGGGGAGCGCGCGCCGGAGCCGCCGCGCTCCGCGGCCGCCGCGCGCTGTGCCAGGACGGAGGGACTCCGGAAGCACCCCGAGTGGTTCACCGGCGTGAGGGAGCCGAAGATGCTTTTTTTTTGTTTGTTCTTGTTTTGTTTTTCTGGCCAAGGCCCTGGCGGCGCTCATCCGCTCTCCTCCCTCCTACTTCTCCCTCTTATCTCCTCCCGTTCCTCCTCGCCTCCTATCCTCCTCATCTGCCTTCCTCCTCTCCTCCTCCTCTCCTCCTCTCCTCCCTCCTCCTTCCTCATCTCCGCTCCTCCCTCGCCCTTCCGCCTCCGCCTCCGCCGCCGCCTCTACTCTCCTCCTCTCCTCTCCTCCTCCTCCTCCTCCTCCTCCTCCTCCCATCAGTGTCGTTTAACCGAGCACGGGCGATGCTAAAGCCCCCCCCCCACTTTTCCCCCCCTCTATTTTCATCACCCCCGTCCAGCAGGGCTTCGTTGTGGAGGTAGGCGCGGAGGCCGAGCTTTCTAATCCGCGGGGGGGAGTTGCGAAAATCGAAGTTGCAATCATCTCATGTTGACGAGCAACAGCATCAAAAACGCTGGGCACGGCCATGGTGGTCTCAGTCCCAATCCCCATCCCAATGCCCTCCGAGGCCCCCACCACGTGACCACCCCAGCTGGGGATGCGCCCCCCGAGACCCGAGGGGAGCGACCCAGATCCCCATCTATATAGGGGGTAGAACGGCCAGTGGGGCCCAGGCCACGCCGCTGGGGATGGGGATCGGTGAAACGAGATCCTCCTTCTCTCTCTCTCTCCTCCTCGTCCTCCTCGTCTTTCGTCCTCTTTCGTCATCCGCTCGTCCTCCTCTCTCTCCTCTCCTCTCTCTCCTTCTTCCTCTCTTCCTCCTCCTCCTCTCCTCCTCCTCCCCTCCCCCTCCTCTACACCTCCCTCCTCCTCCTCTCCCTCTCCTCCCTCCTCCTCCTCCTCCTCCTCCTCCTCCTTCTCCTCCCCCTCCCCAGCCGCCGCGAGGGGTTCAGGAGCGCGCTCGGCGATACCGAAAGCGACCCTTTTCTTCACCCTCCACAGGCTCGCCCCCCAGCTAGTACCAGGCCAGGCGAGGGGGAGGCGTAGGCGGGCACCACAATTACACACATGGCATGCGCATTCTTACGTACAACCCACTAGCCGCCAACACAGTGGAACGTCTTGTGGATATTAGCGACGAACTAAAGGATTGGGATATAATACTACTTTGTGGAACACAGGAATGGGCAGGTCCCGAAGCTGTGCGCAAGGTAATGCTACCCAACCACTGGTGTCTGCGAATTGGGGCCAGGAAGGGGAAATACATCACGAAAGCATGTGGGTTGGCCATTCTAGTACACAGACGAATGGACCAAAATTGCTTGCGTGAGATTTACACCCCACCCACGTCGCTGCAAGGAAGAGTCGCAGGAGTGAAGCTAGCCACGAGTACCATGGATCTGGCCATCTTCCCAGTATATTATGCCCCTGTGCACACCAAACGGTACGATGAGATAGGAGCACGTATAGGGGACTGGTTGGAGACCACCACTGACAGATTGGGTACAAGGACGTTCATTGTGATTGCAGGCGATGTGAACAGCGACTTTGGACTACACCGATCAACAGACGGAATCGTACAAAAAACTATCAACAGCTGTTTAGGGACCTACGCAAAGACTATTGAAAACGAGAACGGTACCGCGTTCAGGAAGATGTGCCAGAGCAGCGATCTCAGCATTATTACCACCAACTACGACACTGGGCCCACCTATTTCGGTCCAAGAGGGGGGACCAGTAAAGTGGACCACATTGCCCTCCCAGCAGGTGCCACCACCCTTGTCCAACGGTGTATGGTGCTACACGCATCGGGGAAGCGCCTCCAACTTATAAAGTCCAGAGGAGCTAGAGACCACCTCCCAGTAGGAGTAGTACTCGACCCGAGGATCCGACACCAGGCGGGCAGGAGGCGGCACCAGCGCGAGTACCTGGACAGGGACGCGCTGATGAGCTGCCTACGGAAGGGAACAAGGAGGGAAGCATGGCAGGAGAAGGTGGAGGAGGAGCTGAGGAAGGTAGAGGAGCAGGAATGGCAGGTCCTCCTCGAGCAACCCACTCCAGACCGAGCGTGGCAGAGATACGGAGATGCGGTACGCACAGCACTACACGACACATTCGGGAAAAAGAAGATGGCCCCAGACCCGTGCGTGGAAGCACTCAGGGAGACCAGGATGACACTGCTGCGCCAACGCCGAGAGCTACGCCACGCCCTGGGACCGAATATCGACGATGAGGAGCTTGAGAACACCCGACAAAGCCTCAAAGAAGTCACGGCCACGCTGAAGAGGATCCGAGACGGCTACGAGAAATCCCGAAAGGAACGACTCGTCGAGGAAATCTGGGAGGCGTCAGAACGTGGCGACTTTGCGCAGATGCACAGGCTGAGGATCGAGTACCAAGCGAACGGACGAGGCCCCAAGAAAAGGTACTTCTTCGCCCCTCGGACGCACTGGGACGCTGAACAGTGGACCCAGGAACTCTCGAAGTCACCACACGAGGGGGGGCTGGCAGCACAGGTGCTGGATCTGGAGGAGCAACTCCGCGAGCACGAGCACTGGCACTCCGAGCGACTCCCACTCCCGATCGATACCGACCTCCGACATCGAGCAGAGCAGGACGGGAGAGACATGCTGAGGTATTGCAGGAAAGCCAAGAAGCGTCGAGCATGGCCAGAGCGGGGGCTCCCTGTTGAGGCGACTCTACTTCTGCTTGATCCCACGGTCAACATGAAAGGCGCCAATGAGCGCGGTGATAGTTACAACGCGCAGGCGATCAAGGTTGAAAGAGACGAAGAAGAACGCCACAGGTTCACGATCGAGCACCGACTCCAGCGAGGCAGAGAGCTGTTAGAGAGGCTAGGCTGGAAAGGAGGAGGGCTAGGAGTACGAGGAGGAGTGCCTACCGACCCTGCTATGCTTACAAACGACTACACAGTAGGACGTGCGCCGAGAGCTGGACTGGGTGTTGCGAAGAATGACGGGCAGGGAACACATGTAGCAAGCAGGAGGCTAAACGACATCTAGGTGATGATACGTGCTACCCAAACCACCCCCCTCTCTTGGCACAGGTCGATGGCATTCGGAGCAGACAAGGCGAACGGTAAGCACGGTATTTTGGGAAAGCGCATTATGCACGCGTACTGCAGCACGAGCATGGCATGGCATGCAGGCGTTCATCGCAGGGGTCAGTTGGAGCAGCACGCAGCATGGGCGCAGGGGGGGCTACCACACCGGTGCAGAGAGAATGCGATAGCGACAATACTCACCACAAAGTGGAAGTCCGACCAGCTCGGATATAGCAGCGTGCACACCAACTACGACTGCTCGAACGCATTTGCGTCCACCAATCGCACCCTCCTCCAAGCTGTGGCCTTTAAACAGGCTGATGAATGGGACCAACCACATGCAGTAGGAGCAATCGAGAAAACTGCCATGACCATAGAGGCTGCGGATCAGACTATTAGTTACGAAAGCACCACAGGCGCCCAGATGGGATTCACGACAGCACCACGACAGTTCAACGATGCTTACAACATATACGTTGCCCAGTGGAACGAAGACCTGCGCACGGAACCGACACAACGACTGCACGACACACCCCACCCGATATTTGGTAGTATACAGGACCTCGGAATTAACACGTTCATGGACGACATCACTAAGACGCATATAATCCCACACCAGGCTAATGCAGGTGAAGTCACCTACCAGGTCAACACAGCCACAGAGAAACTAGAAAGCAAGCTGGAGGCTGGGAACTGGAAACTTAATGCGGGGAAGACCAACCACCTACTGGGACTACGAGGCACAGGGAGCTACGGTACCACAAGAGCCCTAAGACGTAGCAAGCAAATCCAAGGCACACCACTCCGAGAAATGCGAGTGCTAGGACCATACCTCCCATCCGACCAAGGCTTATCAGGAGAAGTGCGTCGCCGCTGCGACGCGATACGCCTAGCATGGAGACAGGGTGGCACTTTTTGGGGTTCACGGTGCAATTACGACGTCAAACGCCTCATGTTTATCGCATTTGTACTGGGTGCAGGGCTAAGCGGACTCACGGCCATGGTACTTCCAACAGCCAGCACTGACGCCATCGACGCCCTGCTAGGAAAATATATGAGGACACTGGCACGAGGAGCGATGTCATGGACCAAAGCAGATGGCAGCATTCGCTGCAAAACCACGGCGCAGGTATTCAAATACTGGAGAATGGACCGAGCTGCCACGGCACTACGTGTGCGACGACTCAAGTGGTACCAGAAGTGGGCACTACACCCCCAACAACATGCGAACGTGGTTGCAGCTATATTCGGGGACAGCACTATGGACAGACTGGCCAACATTCGACGCCTGTTACCAGGCGATAGGATAGGGCCAGACTCCACACCCATGGCGAAACAATACAAGGAGGACCTCGATGCGCTATCACTTATCGACGAGAATATGCACGAATGGTACACACGCAGGCGGTCAGACCTACACATTCTTACACCTGGCACGGAAGAATGGCAACAATGGACGACAATGGACCCCAGCATACTCAGCAGTGCCTCCAGGACCTGGAACAACCAAGCAGGAGACATTGATGAAGGCAGAGCAGACGACCAAATAGCGAAGGCCTACTGGTGCGACTACCCATGTGAAGACGACGACGGACAAACACAATGCTGTGGGAAACGCTTCGCGACAGCACAGGCATTACAGGCTCACAAAAGGGGGGCGCACAACTTGAGGACTTTACTATCGCAGATGATTATTACCATTCAATGCCCTTGGTGTTGGAGCACATTCAATACAAGAAAAACGGCAATTGATCATGCACACCGCTCGGCTGACAAGTACGGAGTGTGTCACATTGACTACAGCAAATGGGCGCACGAAGTACAGGCCCCACCAACACTAACATGCAGCTTATGTGGCCATGAGGCTCAAACCCTCCGCTCCTTTCAGTTGCACGTGAGAGAACATCACGAAGGCCCAGCAGACGTTGCACAGCGCACGTGCGATGGCCCTCCCTGCAGCAGAGTGGCAGCTCGCAGGGG